GATATGGGCTGTGCAATTTATTAACATCCGAATCTTTGTTTGTCTCATTAACAAACAGAACCTTGCACTTTTATTGTGTTCAGAGATTCAAAAGATCTATTCTGAAGACACACCAAACATGATAATTAAATTTCCACCTTACATTTGACTAGAAAAGGATATCTGCACAGATTCATTGACTGTAACATGAAAAATAATCTGAAATGAAAACGTTGGCTTGCTGGATAGTGATAGACGATTATTCACTTCCAGTGATTTCATTAAATGAAATCATAGAAAACGTGAAATCTTTTCTTTGGCGTTACGTCTTTGTTCTGTAACCTAACATGGAACCTTTGGCTTGTTTTACACCAGCTTAGGGCCTGGCATAGCGATTCTTTTTTCCGCGCCTAACCTCAAATAATGTAGTGCAAAGTGGTAACAATTCAAGATGTAGAGAAGAAGAAGGCTTTAAAAAAATAAAGGGATGTGATTTGAAGATTAGGAAGAAGACAATGTACTGATGTATATGCAACATCAAGATGGATTCTGAGCTACATCAGCCACCGTTTTCAGCATTCTAATATGCCACTTTAGAAACGATGTCTTCTACAGTTGATTGTTTGATACTAGTTAGTGGCTGACGGTAAAATGTAAATCTAGATCATACTGTATTCATACTAGCTGCCTTCCAAGTAAGATAGCTGATCCATTCAGGGTTTGGTAAACTACTTTTTATGCGACGACTGAAGTTATAATGCAGAACTGAGTCATAAAGGTGGAAGGCTGACGGTTGAAATCATACTACAACTCACTTTCTCCTTTCAGGTTCAATAACAAATCCTACCACCTTCGGAACACCAAATTTTATCCCAAACTATTTATGTCCTTTTACATCAGTTAATGAGTTACGCGCCTCTTTCTTCTTCATCTACATCAATCAAGGTACTTCATTAGTAAATTCAGATTTATTAGTTCATGGAGGGCGACTGAGAGGAAGTGCTTCTCCATTTACATTTCGTGCTTGTTGGTACTCATGAAGAAAGAATATTTACAACTCCAGAACGGGGGTAATTAAGTACAACTTGATCTATCTTATCTGAGATTGAACTGTCAACAGAGATCAAGTATGACATTCAAGGTAGAAGAGGCATTGGAAACTACCACATTCTAATCGACAAATCAAATAGTTACTCTGTGTGTTTTGTGTATATCTTATATTGTTCGTTTGTTCATGATAATAATCAAGAAATCTAAGTAGAGATGGACTTCGAAAACGTGTCACTTGCAAAAACCAAATGCTGTAAGTATTGGTGACAAAGTAGAAATAAAGTGTTAAATACCCTTAACGAAATGGTTTGTGGTCGAGACGAAAAGCGAAGATATTTTGGTATTGTTCCAAAACAGATATTTCAAAGAAAATATGTGCATACATTAATTTGTTCTATTTCTCATTTCGGTTTTCACACTCTTTCACTGTAAAGTGTCATTGAATACTACGACAAGTTGTTTTTTATGTGAAATTAACCAAACAATCGCAGACGCTTGCTTTGGAGACTGACTTTATTCAGAAGGAATAGATTTTCGGAAAAGCAACTTTCATTGGGAAGCATCAGGTGGAAATTCGTTACCTATCGACTGAGCTAACTAAAGTTGAATTTGATGATAGTTTAGTGTTTTTGATTTTTGATATTTTGTCGTAGAGGTTTCAACCTCAGACATGGTAACATCATGAGTAGAAACTTTATGAAGACCACTTTTATTTACTAGATACAGACCATCTAATAAATTCTCTACTAGAGAGATTTTATAGCAAAATGACTTCCTTATGAAGTTAGCACTGATGGTACCAACAAGCAGTCGAGATTAAATATCTACGATAAAATATCAGGGCATAGAGAACACTAAACATCTATGAGGCCTTACTCATCCGCTTTCTAGTTTTGATTTCTCAACTCTCATCTGTCTGCAGGGAATCACTACCATTTTTCGATTATCTTTTATTATTATTAGTAGTAGTAGTAAGCATGTTTTGTGTTCCTGTTGAATGGTTAGTTCACGTTTTTCTCTTTCTCAGTTGTCTCCCAGAATCTCGTGGTCACCGCTGAACTCGCACTCTTAGATGCGTCCCATAAAATAGCATGCTCACAGGCTAGACGTAAACCTACCGATAGTTGGTCTTCACACCATCATAATCATAGTCATTCTGAACCATAATTCTTTCCAGTCATTTAAAAATGTTGAATTTAGTCTTTTGTAACAGCTTCGATCGCTTGTATTTACAATAACTCTGAGAATATGTCGCTAACCTTCGCCGAGAAAGTTTGTGTATTTAGATATTTTGCATTGGTGATATGCCCTAACCCTAACCAGTGGGACCTATTAGTCTGAGCACTTGAGTTACACCTGATGGGTCAAGGACTCGGACCCCACTCCACCTACTGAGGTCTGAGCAGATATGCAATATCGTTAGCCCTAACTCAATAAGTGTGGCTCATTGTCTGGTGGTTGCTAAGTGCATCTAGATTCCTCTTTTGTTCAAGCTAACCAATTCATACGTTTTGAAACAAAGTTTAAGTATTATTTCGATAGGAGACGGCTCAAAAATGTGTGGAATATGTGAATGACACCTGTTGTGTTGAAAGCCAAACACATACATAACTTCTTCAGACATATAAAATCGGTGGCAAATGGGATAAATTTGACAGCCGTGTTAGAAGATGAACAAGGACTTTAGCTATTTTACATTACACAATAAAATGAAACCAATGCGGTGGGTTAAGCTCAAGTGTGTACAGAAAACCATCGCATCTCAGTAGATCTCTAGACTTTAGGTCATCCCACCCAACATAAATAAAGGTAGGTTTAGTTCAATGTTTAAGTAATCAAGCAAAGAGTCTACCCATTAAGGGAAAAGTTTAAATAAAGACGTGAAAAAAACTAGAGGAACATTGATAATCAATAACTATCCTCCGAAATTCATTCATAACTTCTTACAATGAAAGTGAATGTGGTAATGACGCTAAACGTCACCCTAGGTGCAGCTGAAATAACCCGTCAGGGTTTCTTTATAGCAACTGGACAGGTGGTCTTCTACACAACAGACAAATCTACTTGATCATTCTAATAGTTGCTAGCGTAACCACTACAGTCAATTGCATAAGATTTCCAAACTGTGATGTCAAATAACCTTTCGTATTAACAAAAAATAACTTATCAAAACAAGAAAATACACTAATCACATGAAAATTGACCTGAAAATCTATGTTCGTGAAACTAATTTTAACGACTGTCCAACGGTGATCGGATGGAGTCAACCGGTAGGATGATCAGTTTGCAAATTTACAAATTCCGTGGTCCAGGTTGACATTTCTCATAGTTGAGTAGTTTACCAACTGCCACTGAACTCTGGTGGTGTCAAAAGGGTTTTCTCTGGGAACCACTCAGTCGAGATCACAAAGTTTGATCTCTGACACAAAAGTATCATGAACTAACGAATATACTACTACAGATTGGTTTCCAGTGGAAACCCAGTTTATGCCACATGTCAACATGAACCTTGCGATTTATAAATCCTTTGCAAATTGATCATCGTATTTTAGGTATGCTGGTCCATATAAGTCAGCTAGCCGAATTCAGGAGATCTGAACTAATTAAGCTCTAAGAGCTGAATCTTCTCGAGTACACCGCCAATGATATCAGCGCCGAACGAGAGAAATGGCCGTCGGGTGTTTAGATCACTCTGATCTGGCTGGCGAAACACTACAAACCAGTCTTAGTTTTTTTAACTCCTCAAGTTGTTCAGTAGTAATATCTCTGGAACCAACCGGTCACAGTTTGTTTATGGAATGTAATGATGTCTACAGTAACTCAGCAGTTTAATGGACAATACGTTGACACTAGAAGCGTCCGAATTTCCAGTCTCAGCTAGAACATCATTACTCATAAGTCCCAATCGAGACAAGATGTGCTTTATGGATTACATTGCTAACCACTACCCATCCTTACTATTATTTTCCAGGATACAGAATTTTCTGAGACTGAATTCCGTAGATATCATCACACTAAACAGTCTGGCAGCTGAAACTATGTTGATGGTGAAACTTTTGTCGAACTTACTGCAAAACCCCTAATGTAATAATTCCGTGTTAGATGTGTGTTTCATTTAGCGCACAATGATATGTTACTACTTACTGGATGACATCTCGAGCACAATTAAATTCTAATTATCACATGAAGCTGATCACACAGCTTCCTTACTTAGTTTTTATACTTCCCCTCTTTTTACACCTTTTATCTTATCGGTGTTGAATTCTTCCTATTACATGTGTTGAGCGCTGATTTGAAGACCATAGATTCACTAGTCAGCAACTTCATCGACCTTACGACACTTGTATGGAAAACGTTTTTTGTCTCACCTTTTTGCGTGTTAGTGCAGTTGAGTTTTTCAAGAGAACCCATCTCGGTTGAGTTCGTCATTTCAAACTAAGCTAAATACATCACTGTCTTGATAACCAAACTGACTGTGACTGACTGCTTAGATCTACCTGCTTGACCTGAAGAATAGTGCATGATATTTGACAAATCAATTCTCTTTCTCGCCTGATTCATAAAATTCTCGAGCCAAAAGTTTTTTTATTCAGTGAATTCGAAGACTTAAAGGTCACACTAAACTCTTACCTTACAAAAGATTATTTATATCCTCTTCGAAAAACGACAACATATCTAAGGCCTCATAAACTCCATGTTGTCTACATTAAATTGAAGCTTATGTTACTACGTTTCCTTTTCCTATGGGGTCTTATGAATTTTTAAATAAAGCTCCCAAATGAATTTAGCAGTCATGAAGTGAAACCCACTAATACAAATGTGCAATTAGGTGTCCAGAGGAAACATGAAAATATTGCAAAGTGCTTTTGCAACCGATGATGCTGCCAAATGACAAACTATTTGTGTGATTTAATTAGTTCATTAACATAAAAAATTAAAAATATTGCACAAAATTAAATAACATTCCTTACTTTCAAAGGTCTGCCAACACGCACAACATCGATAGTCATTGTTGGTGCTCGACTTCCAGGACGCTGATTAACTGGTTTACCTCTCAGTTGTACTGTTTGTAGTTGTGATTGGTCCAATGAACCTTCAGACAGGTCTTCTTCTTCATCTTCTCCATTTTCCATTTTATTTTTATTTTTGGGCGATTTTTTGTTTTGCAATAACTTGTCAATTAGTTCATTAACTCACAATGGGTGCTATTCTAATTTCGAATAAAATGGGAATATTCATAGAGCAATAAGTTTATATATTTCTTTCCGTAGTGTATTTTTTTCCTTTTTCTAACTGCGAAGTGTTTATTTTCTGTCTCTCTTTCTCTTTCCAGCCCTCTCCCTCTCCTAGTTAGCACACAAATAAACACTTACGCATGACTGTATACACCCAATGCACATCCATTCACAGATAACCAATATCATTCAATCTTCCATATACGCCTTCGTTTACAGTCATTTGTTATGTGGGCATTATAATAACTGTAAGTGAAAGCGTGATGAACACATTTAATTCATACGATAGGTATAAACGGAAAAAACTATTTCTTGAAACATTGGTCAGTGAAGGCCACCAAACGTTTGTAAAAATCCATATCTCCTTCACAAAATAACAATATTGTTGGGAATTATTATGTTTGTCAGATTAAATATTCATGTGCAGGTTGAAAAATAAAAGATACAGTATACAAGCCCTCTACTGTGTCTTCAAGACAGAGAATAGAAACACCAGACACCCATACATATCAGAGCCTCCTACACACCGGCAAACATTGAAAACAGCGATTTACTCAAGTAAGTATCTCGGTGGGAAATATATGTTTAATATGGATTGAAAGACACAAACAGACACCAACGTTAGCTGATTGGCTAAAATTCTCAGCATCATGTTGATTACATGAACAAATGGCAGTGCATGTAAACTTTAGGCCGAAAATTAACGCTACAACTTGAACACATCAAAAAGTGATGAGTGAATAATTTGACATTACAGTGAAGAGTCTATAGGAAGGTAAATAGATAACGCCAACAAGAATTTATATTCAGCTGATTCGTAAAGAAGAAATTGTTAGTCAAATAGTGGAGTAATCTCACTTAAATGTAAAAGGTGAATGTCAAGTAGTGGATTGAGTATTTTTCTGTCCAATGCTATAGATACGATGTATGATGTTTGTGTTTATTTATATTTTTCAGGGAATAACAGAATGTATTTTAAGCAGAACAGTAGTGAACTTATGACAGTAGGCAACTAACTGATTGTATCTTCTCTGAGTGATAATCACTTGTGGCAATTTCTGAAATGGCCTTGTGCATGAACTGATTGATGTTAGGTTATTGGAGGCGATCATCAAGAAGTACTACTCCTCCAAGGTTTCGTACTTGTTTACAATCGTCGGCAAGGCGTTTCAACAACCTTGAGGAAACTGATATTCACTCACAGACTAGAGACATTGCCACTGAGCTCTTGGGTTATGAAAGTGTTTGGATGCGTCTAGCTAATGAATATCAAAACCAATCAAAGCGCACAATAATAGTATTTCGAAAGACAGACAAGTGAACAAAGAGCCTGATGGTAAAGTCTATCTCTTCAGATCACCACACTTCACAGCAGCATGCACAAAACAAATGGGTAGGAAAACAATAACAGTAAAGTGGATAAAGGTGTAAGGAAGAAGGGTGATTAGGCCGATAAAGGTTAATTAAAATACTCAAGACCTCGAAAATGATAAAAGTTATGTAAATTTGAGTTACTGGGACAGATTTCGAGCCTTGTCCCTATAAATCTCCATTCCAGTATTGCTATCATCCTGAGACCCACAACTAAATAGCCTATATTTCCCACCCGGTCTCAAATGAACAATAAGACTTATTGGAATGATTTCACATCTCGGCTGGCATCACATTTTTAGGTAGGTGTTTTGATATTGATTGTAAAACTCTACGTTAGTGATTAACTAAAGACGTAGGGATAGGCAATTGGTCAATCTGTATTTTTGTGATCTGCCTTGATAAACATTTTCTACAAAGCACGATCAAGAAATCTTTGATAGTAAGATGTTACGTAACTAAATCTGTCTATCTCACTCACTGTTTGATGCGTTTATTTTGTTTCACAAATATGAAAACAGCAAGGAGAGACAAGTTTTTTGATTAATTAAAAGAAATACTGAAAATTTATGGTATTCTGATAATCTGAACTTTCTCATTCACCAAATGGCCACAGATAATGATGCCCTAAAATTTAAAAATCCTTTAAGTCTGTCATTTTGTATTCTTGATGCTTCAGGAATACGTCAACCACTTCACTTACGTGGGGAGTTGCATCAGCTAAAAACGGACTAGTCACTGACAAAATTTCACCCTGGATCCAGAAGCCTCCAATTCCATTTTCCAACTTGCATAATCTGCAGCGCCTAGTGGTAAGATATCATAGGACATGTATACAGAGCTCCAGCCCGTTCTGCCTTGTTACACGGCTTTGAGACATGGCAGCAGATGAAGCAGTTACAGGATTTTGATCATGGGTTTCTTTGAAGCATTACTGGCGTATGTTGGAATCATCATTTTACCAATGTAGAGGTCAGACGAAAGGAAATAGGAAAATAATGAAAGTCAGTCGATAAGGTTGTGAACCTCAGCGACTTAGGTGTCTGGGATATGTGTCCCTCATGCCGACTGATCGTTTACCTCGATGCTAGGAGAAGTCTGGTTGGTTGGAAAAAGATTTAGATTGGCCAGACTGAGACATACCTAACTGTAAGACTAAACCATGTAGGGAGGCTTAGACCACTCGCTGGGCTAACAGGAGTCAGTGGTTGTCGAGTTTTGGTGACGTGGCTGAAAATCGGTGACAATGGCTAAGATGTATTCATTGTCTAACATCTTCTAAGGTTTAAACATTTTCAGTAACCTCCATTTGGAAATTCTTTCTCCTTGGATATACTTTTGTTTACTTTGATAACATTCTTTTTTTGTCAACTTATTCCTTACATGCTACTGTAAAGTGTGGTAACATGAACCGACGCACATGTGTTCAATTTTCCAAGTTGATTTGTCTGTCTATCTGTCCCTCTCTTCTTTTTCAGTACACTTATCTTTAAACTTATGGTTATTTTGTTCCTTAAAGATACACAGCCATCCTATAAGTTTTGTAGGAACAACAATGTAATCAGTCAGTCACTGATTGAAGCCCATCGACGTTTAAGCAAGGAAGTGGTACCATCAACTGTCAAGTATGCACACACACACACTATATAGATGACAAGTAATTCATTTTATTCACAAAAAGTATAATACACGTTCGTTGTGCAATATATACATTTCCTGGTAGTTGTTCGTTTGAGGAAAATAAGTGATAGTTTAGCATCTCAGAGTCTGCTGAAGCATAACTTCAGATCCCTTCAAAGAACTGACTAGCTATCTGAGTTGACATCACCTTTGTAAAATCACTACCAGAATTTCTAAAATTAATTTAAGCTTTATTTCAGATAGGGTTTTTCTCTGAACTGAGGTGTAGGTTCGTAAACATTTGAAGGTAATTCGAGTTATCAATATCATCATAAGTGAACCAATGCTATATATAAAAGCTAAGTAAATCGACCATGCGTGGATATTTATAATATGCTACTTGCCTCAGTTAAACTTTATGGTCGCTTGTTGAGTCTTTGGACACATGTTGAACATTATTGGTTGACGTTTATAACCGGTTTCACAGGTAAATGAATAGCTGTCAGTAATTGACACAGTTTGTTCCGTGCAGCATGTGGAGAATGCTTCGTTGTGATTAGATGAACACTATTTGTTTGAATGAACTAATGAAGATCTATCTGATGTGATTGACGTTACCAAAGTTATGACGGTCGCCGTGATGTGACTGCCTAACTAATCTCTGCAGAATAAGGGTAGTTAACGCTCATTGGCTGGCTTAATTTATATAATAATTATTATTATTATTTGTCCCCTGGGTTCCTAGTAGAACATACGGCTTCACTAGCACATCTCCATTCCACTCTCTTCTCTGCAGTCTTTTCAACCTGGCTCCACCACTGCCCACAAACTTTCATTTCTTCCTCACACCATCTCCTTCATGTCACCCTCAGCTGGGACACCCAACTCGTCGTTTCCCCTTCGGGTTCCACTCGATGGCCTAGCATGGCCTGGCGCGTCACGTCCCCGAATGGTCTTCTCAGTGTATGCCCAATCCAATCCATCTCCACTTTCTTCTGCATATCTGTTGGGCGATAGCTTGTTGGCTGGTTCGTCAGGAGGCCAGATTGAGTTCCTTGTTGTTTGTTCTCATTATTCTGGCCATCTGGTCTTCAGTGTCAGTGTCGAGTGAGCGTAGGCGGCAGCTGTTGATTAGGTATGTCTGCAGTTTGTTGGAAATGCTTTTCGTAACGCGCTAAGTCTCTCAACCATCACAAAGAAGCACTGACTTGACTGACATTAGTGTTGAAAATCCGGATGTTGTTCACGCTTTATGTTGAGTGCAGTGCAGTGCAGTGCAGTGCAGTGTGTAGTAGATCTCCACACTGATTTCAGATTAATGCAGGAAGGCCTGTCTTGCTGTCTTTCCGATCCTGGCTTTGACGTCCTCATCTGTGCCGCCACCCCTGGTTGAAACGATGCTACCTAGGTAGAGAGGTAGGTGAAAGAGAATACTTCATTTAGGTTTCTCCCGTTCATGGTGATTGGTGCTTGTTGTTGTTGATCGGGTATCTTCATCACCTCTGTCTTCTCTACATTCACTTGAAGTCCCGTCTTTGCTGCCTATTCTGTCAACTTGTTGGTCTTCACCTGTAGATGTTCGAGTTTGTGCGACAAGACATTAGACATAAATCACCACCGGGGAAATCCAAATCTCCTTCTGTGGTCTTTTTACCAGTCAAACAGCGTATGCCATTCTTCTCGCTCCTCACAGTTTGTTGCATAATCTAGTACAGTCCAGGCGACCATAATCAGGAAGATGATCGGTGATAGTAGGCGGCAGCAGCCTTGTCTTACTCTTGCCCCCTGTCTTCACTTCACTTCAATTGAAATAAATAACCACAATTAGTTGTAATATCGCTGATTACATACAATAGACTTGTAAAATATGCAAAATGGATTGATAATTTCAGGTAAAAGTTTTCGTT